CCACCGCCTGCCACCGCCGCCCACTGCGCCCCTCTCACCGCCAGCCGTTGCCGCCCCTCCGCCCCACACCACCCCGCGCCTCGCCGGAGCTCCGCTGGAAGCCGCCGCCATCGGATCCGCCGCCACCGCCGGATTTGTCGGTTTTCGTCACGGTTTTTATTCGGTTTAGGTAAAACCGCCAATTTTTCTTTAAAACCCCAGATGCATTTTTTTACAGTTTTCGTTGGTTTATTTATTTAGCGGACGTTCGTCCGTTCGTTCGTTTGAACGAACGTTGTTCGCCGGTTAGGTTCAGACAGCGAACGTTCGTTCCTTAGTCTTTTATTTTTATTTTATTTTCGGCCAGGGACCTATCCACGATTAATTTTATCGCAGATTAACCCCTGATCTTCAAACCCTCGCCGTTTCCTAACCGTTTGTCCAAATCCAGTGAAACCAACGCCAAAATATTCGTCTCGAACCCCTCTTTCTGTTTAATCAACTTGAACAGGGTTTTTGAAAAATTAAAATTTGGTTGCAAGCAGATTTGCATTCGAAGTTCTTTTGACCATAGTTTCAGTTTCGTACCTCCGATTTGATCGATTCTTTTTGCAAATCGAACCTCTTCAGTTCAACTTTCAGTTTGGATCTTCTTATTTGATGTTTTACCTTGCATATTTGCTTGAGTGCTTATGTATGCTATTGTTTGTTTGCGATAGAATTCCCGGAGTGCGCAGCGTGCTACTACGAGTCACTAGGTTTTGCGGATCATCGGCAAGGCAAGTAACACATTGATCATACCCCTTTATTACCCAATTTTTATGCATTAGTTAGAACCCTCAAACATTGCACGAGTAGGATTTCTTAACATGTGGGTTTTGGGAAGTTGTTGATGAGGTAGAACCTATTGCCCTTTTATTATCAAACCCTGGGAGTTACTTCTATGTTATGATATTTATTGCCATGCTATGCTCGTAGACGTGGTTTGGGTTTGAGTGTATCCATGACAAATGTGAGATTATCAATTAATGGTTTACTTAAGGTGGCTACTTCAACACACATCTGGGTGGATTGGTTGCGGGCACCTAGGGATATACCAGTGATGTCCTTTTTGGTTCGCCACCCAGGCTCAAAGGGATCATAAGATTATTCATGCTAGAAACTTCCGTGTGCAGCCACAAGCTATTATGGGCTCTAGCATAGTGGAGTAAGTTGCATGACCTCTTCCAGTGGTAGGCTAGCAGATGTAGGGGGTGTAGGTTGGTACTGTCTAACCGGGGTTAGAGTAAATGCTTCTGAAAGACTGTGTATCGGTCATCCATTTCTCAAACACCATGTAGTGCGAGAAATCCAACGGAGAAGATCAAGTCTTGTGGGGAAAAGTGCGCAAACCTCTGCAGAGTGTACAAACTAATCATGGTTAGCCGTGCCCCGGTTATGTACATCTTGAGTATCTGGTTCTTGGATTATCTTGTGGATCTCGTCACCCTAAATTAATTTGTTAGGATGTTAATTACTTTTAATTGGGATTGAGATGGGGTTTTACCATTCTCAATGTTTTTTCAACTACCATGATAGTTAAATAAAATATATTCCTTTTTTATAGGAAAAGTTGGCTTTTCGCAAAAAACATTATAACCATAGAGCCTCCACCAGCCATATATGCATGTAGTGATAGCTATTACTTGTTTCATTGCTCTACTGTGTTATCTTGCTAGCATATCCCATGTGCTGACCCGTTTTCGGGCTGCAACATATCATGTTGTAGACTTTTCAGACGATGAGTAAGGTGCGCTAGGTCGTTGTCGTGCACTCACCTATGCGTTGGAGTTGATGGACTCACTTTATCTTCCAAGCCTTCCGTTGTTATCTTACTTAGATGGCCTTAAGCCATACTTATTATAATAAGTTCTCTTTTGAGACATTCGATGTAATAGGTGTGTGATTGCCACTCTGTTATAAATCCTTCAAGTACTGTGTGTGTCAGCATTACCGATCTAGGGATGACACTTATGCATATAGATTTGGCTGTTTGAGGTCGGATCGCTATAAGATGGTATCAAAGCACACGCTGAATGTAGGACACGACAACTAAGATGAGCCATAGGTCACTCTTCTCTACTCATTTCTGACTTCTCTCCATCTTCTACTCTATAGGATGGCGGACACAAGGAACAAGTTTACACAGCCAGATGAAGACACACCTTTTGGACGACACTTGAAGGAAGTCACTAGGTACCTGAACATTGGAATACCAAGCTTCACCGGGACCTACACCGTCACTTTACCAGAAGAAGAGCGTTGGATGATTCGAGTTCAAGTTCCAGGAAGGACGTTCACGCCAGTAACTGAGCCCATAGAGTTTTCCTTCGATGCACCAACCTGGAGTCTAGGAAAGAGCATGGCAGCTCACATCGTCATAGGACGCATCGACGAAGTTTATCACAAGGATCTTAAGGACACTATTTACTAGATATGTGGGTGCCGAGATGAGCAATGGGAGATGATCAGCACCAGGAAGGACAGGTCCATTGCAGCCTTCATTCAGGAGTTAAACCAGCACATTCGACGCCATGAGAACCAAATGTGCGCAAGCATGATAGATCTGAAGAAGTTGATGACTA